GACGTGAAATAAATCATTTCAGTGGACAAGTTCGTCATTAGATTAATCAATTTCTATGAATCATCATTCAGAAATACTGATGAATTTTTAAGTGGCTGAGCGAATCGTCATCTAATATACTGGCATTCTTGTGAAAAGCAAAAGGAGCTGCGCCGATTGTGAAATATTTATGAGTTTACTGAAAAACAACGACATAATGCCTGAGCAATCTATCATATTTCATATTGATTTGTTCCAATTTTTTTGTCGTTCCGTTCAATACGCTAAAATTTTCAAGAGAATGAAAATGTGAAAAACGGATAAATTCTCTTCCAGAGGGATATTGCGAAAATAAATGAGCTAATTGAAATGCAAATCCAATCAAATATACAGTCAAATATCCGAAAATCCACTTGATATCCGAAATATCCGAAAATTTAGCGACCACTGAACATAAAAAGCACAATTCGAAATATCATACGATAACATCAACGTTAAAAACCACAGTGATAACAGTAAAGAAAGTAAAGTATGTAATATCTCACCTCATAAAGAGTAATTGGCTCAATTTTAGTGCTCGTGAAGGCCTCATTCGCCTTAATTCCGGCAGCTTGCAACCCGTCATAAATCATCTTGATCATTTGTGTCACATCGTTCTCTGACGAGAGCACATTTTTCGGTGGTAAATTTCCAATGAATGCACCAAAATATGGGTAGCACTGAAAGTTGATGCGAAATTTAGCGACCAATTCTAGAAAACACTTATCGGGACATCGATCGTCCGAGACTATACCGTCCGAGCCAGTTGATTCAACAGTTTGGGCCACAAAATTTGGGATGAATGAACAATTTTTGATACTGCATTATAAGACTGCATGTTGACTATCAATTGGTTTTGTTGCGTGTAAATGATATGCATATATGGACGACCGTTTACAAAGGATTACACTTAATTCCCAGATCTGAGCAGTTTGATGAGCAAACTCAAAGAGACAGCCACACTGACCTCTTGTTGAAGTTTTCTCGCAAAAATAGTTGATAGTCCCGTTAAGCTTTGTGGACTCATGCGAGTGGCCAGAATTGCAGAAACTGAAATTTTTCATTTTCAGTGCATTGCAAATGGGTTTGTAAGCACTTGACGATGCACAGTAGGAAAAGTCACTCGTCAATTACTTTTTGAATTTTATGCTAAAATTTATGAAAAACTGAACAGGAGAGCTGAATAAATCAAAGAACAAAGTGAACAGAATGCTGAAATTCTGATCAAATCGAAAACGAGAGCAATCGGAAATGACAACGGCGATTTCAACGACCTTTATCGTAATTTCGAATAAGATTCCAATATGGAATCTGTTGTTGATCACCACCATCTAATAGCAGCGAGAAGCCATTGACGGTCAGCAAAGCGGCATCTTCATTGCCACCGGTGAAGACATAAATGGAAGCACGCTTCGATCGTATACTACCGACCGTATGACCCTCGGGTAGCATTGAAACCAAATCTGTCGTGCCTGAAACTTGAGCACATCAACCAGGGTCTTTGTTCCAAGCAATTGAGCAATCAGTGCTAAGCTATTCAAAAAATCTCAATAGGTTCGGAATAATATGATGATTTTGCGAGATTTCATGGTTGACTTCATAGAAATGGATAAGCCGGAAGACTTACCGGCCATAGTGGTCCCTCACGGAAACGTAATAACCAGCCTGAAAGCTTGTCTAATAAGATGAATCGATGAAACCTGTTGTATCACGCAAGCACCGCAAAATATATCGCAACAAATCGCACGTTAGACATTGAAAAATGTGTCGAAATCGAACAAAACCATAAATTACAATAGCAATCCATTAACTAACTAACATCAACCACACAACCACACATACATAACGGTAATATGACTAATAGAGTATCGCTCTAGTGAATTGAAGGAAGGTAAAAAACTAAAAGCACTGATCGAAATCAAACGCCATTTGCTCTACGCCCGAATTAACTCTCCAAATGGCTTTTGTTTCAGATCTTCGTCAGTAGATCATTTAGACTGGTTTGAAGTGGAGCAAGATTCGAAGCATCCACCAAACAGGACGTTCAGTCAGTTCACCATATTGTCGTCTGCATTGACTAATACGATCAAAATTGATGCGATAACGCAAAATTTTAATGACATTTGAAAAGAGTGAATCATTACTGAATTTCCGTCTGACTCTGGATTAAGATTTGAACTCAAATTCATTCTGACGTTCTCATGAGAAAAAAACGAAACCGCAAATTTGCCCATGCACAAATCTTTCTTCCTTACTGTAATGGAAGTGAGTGAGTGCGTTAAGTTGACATCTTATTTCTTCATCGTTTCATGCGTTCACAACGAACAATTTCAGTCATTTCTAAGTGCACAAGCCGAGAGAATGCATATGAAAATGGACGTTAAAAACGAAATTTGTAAAGTGTTTCGCGTTCAATTT